ATTGGTAACTGATGGCATTGGAGGGGATGGAAACATGCTGTCAGCTATCACTGATGTGCGTGACATTGGGACATATGTTGCTCGGATCATTGCAGACCCTCGCACGTTGAACCACATGGTCTTCGCATACAACGAGTTGATCACTCAGAACCAAGTGTATGACTTGCTGGAGACGATGAGTGGGGAGAAGGTCAAGAGAAACCACGTAGGTTCGGTTCGGTTGATAACTGTAGCATCGAGACTAAATGGTCAACAGATATCGGTTCAGGCAATTAAGGCTGGAGTCGCTCAAATGGAGGCTTCGAACTTGGGGCCGGAGTCACCGGAGTTCTACGAACTGATCCGCTTTCAGTACTGGCATTCTTGGGCTATCCGTGGAGACAACACCCCCGAGTACGCGAAGTATTTGGGTTACTTGAACACGAAGGATCTGTACTCGGACATTGGGTTCATTCCGTTCCAAGAATATGTGCAGGAGGTACTGAATGGAAAAGGGAAGAGTGTCTACGAAAAGTCGGAGGATTTGAAGCCACTCAAGGTCAAATGAGAGAAGCTATCATCTATGCATAGCAATGCCACCTATGGAGGTGCGCGGAACTCCCACGAAGGGGTAAATGACGGCTCGTCATAACTAGAACAACATCATGTATATTCATCTATCATAAGGCACTCTTTTAGCTGACTGAGGAAAATTCCGGACTGATCCCACAAAGTTGGCGGGTCTGGATTGTTCAAGGCGCCTTGGCCGGAAGGATGCGGTCAGCTCTGTACCAGTTGGCCTCGGGATCGCCAAGACATTCGCCAACAGGGACTCCCTTCAAGTTCTTCTCTTTCATAACTCGAAGAATCTCAGGAAGCAAAAACTCAGCGGTGTTTTGTTGAACCTTGCAGCTTGTTAGATACGCAGTTTCTCAACTTCACCGAATTCCCGAGGTTGACTTACATCATGGCACAAAGTAAGGGTGCCGCCATTTTCCACGCCGTTCTCAAAGAGATCCAGGCCTGTGAGGTTCCCCAATGAGTTGTATTTCCAGTCGTTGGTGTCGATATCAGCACGGATGACATGGTACTGGAGATCCTTCATGATGGACAGGGTCGCAGCGCTCCAGCTGAAGTAAGGCGGGCGCATGTACGTCGGGCATTTTCCCATAATGTCGAAGAAGGCATCCTCAAGCTTGGTCATCTGCTCAATCACGCCTTTGTCGTCAGTCGTGGCAAGGTCGGCGTGACTCCACGTGTGATGGCCGACTTGATGGCCCTCGTCGAGCATGCGCTTAATCCTAGCTCGGTTTTCGTCGTTCCTGATATCGCCCAGGAGACTGCCCGTTACGAAGAAGGTAGCTTTAACTTGAGCCTCGGCAAGTAGGTCGAGAACATGATCGGTGTATTTGAACGGGCCGTCATCGAAGGTGAGGGCAAAGGTATTCTCGACGGTACAGCTGCTGATGACGGTCCCATATGGAACTTTCGTAGGCGGTGTGATCGACGTAGTGTTGTTGTTGACGCTGGTGTCGTTGGCTCGGGGTTGGATGCGGAAGGGCCCGGCAGCTGCTCCCAGGGCGAGGGAAAGGGTAATGACAGTGGTGAAATGCATTGTACTGTAATGACTGGTGGGGTTGAAAATGAATGTGATGAGGAACGAAGGTGACTCACATCTTCCGCAATGGTGAAATGAGCAACTAGAAATATGAAAGTCGAGAACAGTATTGACTGCAGCCCAGCGAATTGCCGTAGAATGCCATCCCTTCTTGCTTGCCCACTCTTTCTTCTTTCCTAGGTTGTCGCAATACAGGCGAGTCAGCAATAATAATGTCAAAAAGCTTAAGCTATTTTTTCAGCGTGCCTCCTGCAACTTCTTCAATGACTAGTGCTTGGCAATGCCAGTGCCGCTGAGCTGTAGTTACCAAAAATAGGCTGTCAAGGACTTTCCTGAGCTGTAAAATAGTGAGCGGCCCCGGTAATGCCGGTCAGAAGTCAGTCCAACCCTCCTTGTACAGCTCACCTAACAGCAAAGAAGCACGAAAATACAAATAGGTTGACTGCTAGTTTCATCCCGGCTGCCATAGATGAAGAGAGCGAACAAGATGAGGTTTCTGTCAAAATCTTTTGCATCGCGTCCCAGTTTGTCAATGAAGCAGGTAAGCAGATCAACCGTAGCTCAAAGGAGCGCACGCCAACCAAGCCGCAGCACTGGTTTCTAAATACGTTCAGTGTGACTTTGCTGAACACAGCCATGGCGGTGATTGTCATTCGCTTTCGGTATCACTGACATACCCCTTAGCCAAATCCAATGCCGTCTTTGCTTGAAACCGGACTGCGCCGACCGCTCCACTCCCCGTCCGACAGCCAAATTGCCCCAGACCGGATCCCGAGCTCGGTGACCCCGCCCGCGGCCTTGCGCCCCGACCGAAAGTATTTCCAGACTACCTTAATAACAGCATTGGCGGCCTTTTGGGCCGCCCCGGATGTCACGGCAACAACCAGACGAAACTATCACCTTCTCCTCCGACGCGCACGATGGGTATGTCATTCACTCAGGGCCGTATCATATGTGGAATAGCGCATTTTGATAGGTTCGGTCGCATGGTTTCTTAAGCCATCTCAATCGGGTCTGCCAGGGTGTGTAAGGGTGACTGTCTAATATCGTGAGATAATTGCTAGCAGGGCGACCTAGGGCTTAGGCAGGATCGTAATCAAGAATGAACTTGACTTCTCATGTGTGGTACTAATAATCATTTTCACGACTTAAACGCAGTGATCTGAATTTGAGGCAATGGTCTCTCAACAATTATGTGTCTCGGCATTACTAGAAAAACGCTCTACAAATATGGCTTTGAGTCTCTTCTCCTGCGTTCTCCCCTTTGACTCACTCCGTCAGAGCCATTATCTCGTCTTCAACCTTCTTTAAGGGGTCGAATGCTCCAGCCTCTATCCTCAACTGTTCCGCTCTCCTTTTGTACGTGTCAGTGGCCAGGACCTCTGCCAGGGCCTTACCAACAGCTTCGGTTGTAACAGGAGAATTCTCAAGGAATACTCCCAGTCCAGACCACTCAATCCTCCTGCCAATGTCGGGTTTGTCGAACGTATTGCCAGCTTGCACCATCGGAACCCCATTGGAAACGGCATGTTGAAAACCTCCATACCCGCTGTTAGAAACAAAGACGTCCGCGTGCTCTAAGATTGCATCGTAGGGAAAATAGTCGACTACCCGAGCATTGCGAGGTAACACTTGACTCGGCAAGCTGCTGGTGTCGAGCTTAGCTCCGGCGACACAGAGACAAGCAACAACCAATACGTCATCGCTTTCAGATAGAGCCCTTATCGTGGGAAGAATGAGTTCTCGATGGTCTAGAACCTCAGTTCCTTGGGCCACGAACACAATCCGTTTCCTGTCTGACTTCGATCCATGCCAGGAAGCACTGTTCGAAATGATGTCGGCAAACCAAGCTGGGAATGAGAGCGTTGCTGGCAGTGGCTTGATTGGGAGGGTTCCTGCGAACTTGATTCGATCGGGCCAGTCGGTTGATTGAAATTCAAGACTCGGTAAACACATCTGTAGTGTGACGTCGTGACAAATTGTTGAAGCGTCCCAAAAAGGATGTTTGATGGTCGTTGAGACGTTATCGTAAAGAGATTCCAGGGGCTTGGAGCAGCCCATTATTCCCAGCACCCATCGTGCTCGGTCCTCCGCATCGGCGTTCCACGTCTTTCTCAAAATTTCAGAATGCCGCTCCTTTCCTTCTTCACTGTTGTCGAATGGTAGCCCAGTCCCCCATGGCGGCCGTTCAGGACTCGACCAAAATGTCGGTACCACGCCGACTCCTATTGTCTTGATCTCTTCCCCTTTGTTGAAGCCTTCCGGTAAGTCAGTGCCTAACTTCAGGCACAATGTACCAGAAAAGCAGGTGTCCGAAAGAACAATGATTCCGCAATCGGGTCGACGTCTGCGCATACCGGCCAGCGCGAATCGAACGGACTCAAGGCCACTGGGCAGGAGTGAAACAAACCCTCCATCAAGTGATGCGGCAAGACGGGCTGCAGAGTCTGATGCGTGCGCGATCTCTGGCCAACGATCTGGATCATCCAACGTGCCCCAGAGGCCGATGATAGGACTGAAGTGTCCGCCTGTTGCTTCGATAGTCGACTTCCATCTTTGAGTTCCCAAAATTGTCACATTGAAACCATTAGTGATTAGATGTTTGGCGATTTGAAGTGCCGGCCGCATGTGGCCCTCCCTAGGAGGTACAGCGTAAAGGACGCAGGGTTTGGTCCTGGTAGCCTCCTTCATGCTGAAATTTGAGTTTCTATGGGAAGAACAGCCCAGATTTTGATTTTCAAAGAAAGAAACATCCGCCTGAAAGCATGTCATAAATGTCGAGGTGTTCGGATGAGCCCGGAGGCAAGCTTTTGTGTTCTTCGTTCCGCCATGTTAGTGCCAGGGGACCCTGAGCTCGCTAAAATTGACACCAAGATAAGAGAGCCAGGAACAAGAGACAGATTTGAGAGTGGCTACCCTCGCGAGTCAGGGAGGCGACTGTCCGTCAGGCTCAGAGACCATGAATATTGCCTGATTTTTGAAGCTTCAAAGGTTCACAAACATTGCTGATGACTGGACTTTGCATCGCATGTTCACACTCCGAGGCTTTGATGCGATTAGATCAATGGCCAGTCTCTCGGTTCAATTGCGCGAAGCCCTTTGGGATGATGTCTCAACTGTCAGGGGCTATCCCTGCCAAAAATGATAGGTCGCTGTTCAGACCAATCCACTGGAATCTGGAGTTCCGGGGTTATCATTGTGTTTGACTCGTGGATCGCGATAAAGAATAACGATGATTGCACCACCTATCTATGACGAGACACAAATACGGCAAAGATTATACGAATGAGGAAACAAATGTATGCGGAGTAAATAGCACCTTTGGCGCAATTGTTTTTGGACCCTTGACGACTGCAAACCAAATTACCACCAGAGGCGCGGACCAAGACGCATGCTCCAGATCTCAGAATGATCCCCAATAATGCTTGCCATAATCTCCCTCAGGCTTCCAAAGAGGAGCCGGGGTGTACACGGGGATCGGTACATCAGCTACAAGGTGAAAGATATCAGCAGACGTATCACGCACGAGCTGGATGGAAAGCTTCACTTACTCCCATATCCCGTATTTGCTGCTACCCACGTTGGCGACGGAGGAACTGCCCAACCAGTCGGCGTCGTCGAGATGGTGTAGGTGCTGGTATACGCCGTTGGGGACTGTTTCGATGTGAGTGACTTTATGCCATCTCCGGCACCATACGAGTTGTCACCGTTGCCAAAGATGTTACTGATCTTGTTCACAACGTATGTGCCAGACTCCGTCCAGAGGTTGAACCCTTCGACAGTCACGTTTGTGGCGTACGTTAAGTCGTTGGCGATCAAGTACAGGGGAGGGCGTTTGGCGCCATCAGCAACAGATCCTGAGAGCGTTGTTGTTAGACCTACCGAAGTAGTTGATTCAAGCGTGAGACTCACCAGAAAAGTTCTTGAAAACCAAGTTGCTGAGCGCAACCGCCCCAGTGTCCGGCTCAAAGGTGTTTTGCCAGTACTGGTTGATGTCCAGTCCGTACAAGGATGCCTTGGAACGGAAGTTCTCAAAGGTAATGTTCGTAACATAACCCGACCCTCCAGGATAAGTCTTGATAAAAGCAATGTTGTTGCCTTGGATGATGCTTATGTTGCGAGCATGCTGTAGCCTGTTAGCTGCATGAAGGAAACAGACGATAAATCGCTTACAATATTGGCGATAGATGCCGACACATTCAGACTCCCGATTGAAATTCCAGATCCGGCTTGGTTGCATACGAGATTTTCGACAAGGGCATGATTCGAAGGGCTTTTTACCGACACACATTCGTCTCTGTTGGTGACCTGGAAAGATGAGTGAGATCGAAGAACCTTAGTCACAATTAAGTGGACAGACCTCGATATCGTGGATCCAGTAGTTCGTTCCCACAACATCCACTCCGTCGTAGGAACCAAGGTTCGCTCCTCGAATTGTTAAGTGATAGGCTTCAAGGTTGACAGCGAAGTCAAAGACAATGTGAAATTTGGGACTGTCCACGAGTATAAGATCGTGGACTGATGTGTTGATAGGAGAAATCAAGCGGACGAGTCGAGGCCGGAATGTGCTGGAAGAGCGCTGTCAGCTTCAGACTCATGCATCGAGCAAGTTGGTAAATGGCGTACTTCCCCAAGTTCCTGTACAGGTACCCTTGACCCTGGATTGCACCTTTTCCGTTTTGAGAGTAAAACTCAAAATCGACGGCTGTTCCTCAAGTCAGTCTCGCCTCATTGTAGTGTAACATCAAGCCAAACCGTTGATAATGGTGATTCCATTCTGCAAGAAAAGGCCGTCACCTTCGCCGTTGATTGTCGCGTTCAGCTGCTCAACCCCTGCGAACCCCTGTAGAATCAACTCACGATCAACAGTCCAATTGCCGCCATAAGCGAGTGTGATCAATCCGTCGAGCTGGAAAGCCCAATTGGTACCATTGGACAGGATAGCTGTTCGCTTGATAAGATAGTTGCCCTCTGGGACAACGAGACGGCTGCCAGCGTGAACGAGGACACAGCTTTTGAAGGCATTCTCAATCGCATCTGCCACATCCGTAGAATTGTCGCTAACACCTCCGTAGTTCAGGATGTTGCATTCAATTGTCTTCTTACTGAGGTCTGTTGTGGGGCCAACAGGGCCTGTGAGCTGCGCAGCGACTCCTGAAAGAGAGAGAACTGCGGCAAAAAGGGCAGACTTCATCATGAATATGAGTTGGCAGCAGAAGGGTGGCACTTGATCAAGAAACAGGACATGACCTAGGCAAGATATAACAAGCTTTAAACAGTTTTGTTTTACATGGTGAGGGCAAAATGTCGTAACAACGATCACGACATCAGAGAATCCGAATTCAACCATCCATATCGGATCACTTTGCCGAATACCATACTCCCGCAGGATTTTTCGGTCACAAAGTATTCAATCACGGCTGCCTGAAGTGGGTTTAGCTATCGGCTATGCTCTTTGAGTAAGACGGACGATATCTTTTCAACAAACTTGAGCGGTCACTCAAACGAAACTCTCCTACTTTTTCGTACCGTGAGCTAAGATGACCACAGACATGCAGCGTTCTGATAAGTGATGTTAGGCAAATGCAGGGTTGAACTCGAGTTTTGCGGTCAGCTATGATTGCGTGATGGCCAAATCCAACGCGATGGATCACTAGAACATTTCTAGTGTCTGCTCACACCCCAGCCAGCACATTCCATGCCACTGGTTGATTTGCACCCCTGAGATGATGCGATGTACTAATTACCCGACATGTCTATCTCCACTGGCATATGTGGATAACTTTGTCCAAGATGAAGTAGCATGCAGAAGCTCCACGGTTCCGACTCCCGAGCTTGGCGATGGGAAAGGTGACTTCAAACACCGAATGTAAGCATTTGCCAAAAGAGGCATAAGGAGGACTCGCGATGCGAGAAACCCGGAAGTTCGGCATCTTGCACACGGAAAACAATATTGCATCAATCAGAGTCAAGATGACTGACCTAGCTGTCAATGGCGCAATGATTGTGTCCGTCGCGCAATGAATTCTATGGAGCCCTTTATTCCGCTTGTCTACAAAAGGCGAATCGCAGTGACTTTGACAGGACTGATATCACACCTCCCATGACTACAGCAGGAATACCACATTCAGTGATGGCCCCCAGAAACGTGCTTCTGCTCGTGGCAGACGACTTGGGAAAGCAGCTTGGCTGCTACGGAAACCCCTACACCAAGACTCCAAACATCGACAAGCTTGCTGCTGAAGGTACGCGGTTCGACAAAGCTTTTGCAAGCACTGCTTCTTGCTCCGGCTCAAGATCGACCCTCTACACAGGCCTCCACACCCACCAGAATGGTCAATACGGACTCAACAGCGGCAAGCATCATTTCATGACATTCGATCACATTGAGTCTGGACCAGCCTTGTTGTCTAAGGCTGGCGTTCGCACTGGGATTATCGGGAAGATCCACGTCGGTCCAGACAGTGTTTATCCCTGGGAATGGAGGGATGAAAGCCTGACCAGGGATGTGTGGTGGTCTTCTCAACGCGCGGCCGAGTTCTTCAAGGTCTCCAAAGAGGATCGACGGCCGTTTGTATTGACCGTTGGGTATCACGACCCCCATCGCGATCGCACCCGCGGCGGCTTTGGCAATGATGAACCTGTCGATGAGCGAATCAACAGTGTGAAGTACCATGCCAACGACATGGTCGTTCCAGGCTTCCTTTCAGACACACCCGGTGTTCGACATGAGCTTGCAGGCTATGCGGAGGCCATCAGCCGTCTGGATCAGGGCATCGGCATGATCCTACACGAGCTTGAAGCATCTGGCTTCGCCGATGACACTCTGGTCATCTTCATCAGCGACAATGGCCCTCCTTTCTTGAACTCCAAAACTACTCTCTACGATGCTGGGGTCTGCCTCCCTCTCATTATTAAGCAGCCAGGATCGTCACCGGCGGTCAATCCAAATCTGGTTTCTTACGTCGACATTTTACCCACCATCTTGGACTGGGTTCTGGACCAAAACTCGGAAGGACCCAAGACGGGACTCGCGGGTCGGTCGTTCCTCGATATCATTAGTGAAGATCAGCAGCTTCCTGAATGGGACCACGTCTTTGGCTCCCACACCTTTCACGAGTCAACGAACTACTGGCCCACGAGGTATATCCGAACGAGGCGATACAAGTACCATCGCAATATTGCATGGAGACTTGACTTCCCGTTTGCCAATGATATCTACGGCTCACTCACATGGGAAGACATTCGCAATGCCGAAGAGAGTCCGAAGAAGATTGGGCAAAGACTGTTGAAAGACTACTTCTTCCGTCCTGCGGAGGAATTGTACGATCTCACAGCGGATCCTAATGAGGTGAAGAATCTAGCCAAGGATCCTGATCATCAGGATGTACTTGTTGAGCTGCGGACCAGGCTGGAAGATTGGCAGAGAAGAACAAACGACCCTTGGCTGTACCGCGATGGGATCTCGATCCTTCTGAACAAGCATCATATTGATGCCGGGCTCTCAGTTCCCGATAAGTGGGATCTTGACATTGAAAGTCCTGAGACAAACAAGAAAGGTATCAAATTGTATGACAATTTACCTTTCGGGGTAACTGGTGTCAGATTGTAGAAATGCGGCGGAATTGCATGCTTTGTAATGAGGATAAAGAGCTTAGACAAGGGAGAAAACCCTTGAATTATTTACGATGAGAATATCTGCCGAGCGACATGCGCCAATTCCGCCTGGTATGATGCATTGGTCCGCCCGTGTGCCAGCGCTCATCACGAAGATTTCGGGGAGGTCGGGCCGTTGAAGGAGAGTCACGCACAAGTTTGAAGAGGAAGTGATAAGACGCAATTGGATCTCAATCGCATCCATGTGGCACGCCAAGACAGATCCAGGGTGGTATTCCGTCTCTGCCAAGCACCATCCCACATGGGGAATTGTCCGTCGTTCTGTGAGAGGTGGACCCCTCGCTCCTCATCTGTCTCCATAATGTCGTGATGGCTTCTCGGCTGACGGACGCCGAGAACCAACCAAAAGCTTATCTTCGCTTTCAACCTTTTCCAGGGTCATTGAAGACTTTGACAAGATGTGCCTCTGGAAATAAGCAGCGGGCGAAACCCAGCAGCACGTCGAACTCATTGGCGATGATGTGCGCGTTTGGCTCGGTATTCTTTTGACCGATTGCAAGTATCGGAGTCGAATGTTTGATACCTTATATAGATGGATGCAAAACGAATTTTTAATCGAATTCAAGGCCAATTCTGACCATGATGATATCTCTCAATTGATAGCTCATCGTCCTTCATTCTGAACGCGCGGTCACCTAAAGCGCAAACATGAGTGCAAATGCGCCCCCCGCCATCGAGGTTGCTGATGGAGCAAGGACTCCTCGCGGCCACGACATCGACGCCAAAACGCCTTCGTTCGAGGTCGACTCCCCAAAGGAAGACATCAGTGATCTCGCTGAGCCACAGGACACCACCAAATCAGTTGGCTTCTGGGAAGCACTCACCCGCCGCAACACCCCCAGAGACCTTAACTCCATTGCGACAGAGCGTAGTGTTTTCGATGATCCCAACTTAGCGCCTTTTTATCAACCTCCAGCTGAGTACGAAAACGTTCATCGCTTCGATCCTCAGGAACGATGGACCTACCGCGAAGAGCAGCGTGTGCGCCGCAAGACCGACCTTAGGATCTTCGCCTGGATTCTCGTCATGTTCTTCGGCTTGAATATTGACAGAGGTAACCTGGGCAACGCCGCGGCAGACAACCTTCTCAAGGATCTCAACATCAACACGAATGATTACAACAATGCTCAGAACATGTATCGGATCGGCTTTCTCATAGCTGAAATCCCATCACAGATGATTGGCAAGCGTCTGGGTCCTGATCGATGGATCCCTGTCCAAATTATCCTGTGGAGTTTCGCTTCGGGTGGACAGTTCTTTATGCACAACAGGGCCGGCTTTTTTGCCTGTCGGTTTCTTGTAAGTTTTGGCATACAATAGGGTAGAAGCGTTTCTGAGCTAATCAATGCGTGAATTTCAAGATCGGGCTCTTCATGGGTGGCTTTATTCCGGACAGCATTCTGTACTTGTCTTATTTCTATAAGAAGACCGAGATGCCAATCCGTCTCGCCCTGTTTTGGTTCGTCGACTCTATCTCGGGCGTTATCGCATCATTTATGGCGTATGGCATTCTGCATATGCGCGGAGTGGCCGGCAAGGAAGGCTGGAGATGGCTCTTTCTGATCGAGGCCTTGGTCAGTTTCGTGATCGGCGCTCTCAGCTTCCTGTTCCTCGTCCCAGGTCCAACGCAGACGAAGACATGGTGGAACCCTAAAGGCTACTTCACGGAGCGCGAGGAGAAGATCATTGTTAACCGCGTTCTTCGGGATGATCCGTCGAAGAGCGACATGCACAACCGCGAATCTCTAACCCTCGGTATGCTCTGGAAAAGTCTCAAAGACTACGACCTCTGGCCCATCTATCTCATCGGAATTCTTTTCGAAATTCCAACAGCGCCGCCGAAGACATACCTCACATTATCTCTGAAGGCCTTGGGTTTCAGCACTTTCAACGTCACGCTTCTCGCCATCCCTGTTACGGTCTTCGCAGCAGTCAACATGTTGTGGGTCACATTTCTCACCGAGAGATTCCATCAAATCGCCATTATCGGCCTTCTGTCACAGGTCTGGGTGCTGCCTCTTCTCATTGTCGAGTATACCTCCATCGAAAGCTTGTCCCCGTGGGCGCAGTATGCTGTCACATTCATGATCCTCGGTCAGCCATCAACGCATGCCGCTCACGTCGGCTGGTGCTCTCGACTTTCGAATTCTGTGCGAACTAGAGCAATCAGCGCTGCGTTGTACAACATAACGATCCAGCTGTCTGGTATCGCGTCGTCCAACATCTATCGCGAAGATGACAAGCCTCACTATCATCGTGGAAACAAGAACCTCATCGCCATCACCGTCGCTACAATCTTTGCATACGCTTTTGCCAAGGTGTATTATACGCTTCGGAACAAGTCTAAGCGGGATCAATGGAACGCCATGTCTGACCAGGAACAAGCAGCATACCTAAACAGTACCACAGATGAGGGCAATAAGCGGCTGGACTTCTTCTTTGACAGTTAACTGCGGGCCTTATCATCTGATTATTGGCTTTTTCTGGACGTCTGTATTGGTCCGATTCAACGGCACAAAGCCCTTACTAAAGACAGAAAGTGGCAATTGAAGTCACGCAACATCCTCTTTCGAGTCTTTTGCTTTGCCCAAGTGCCTACGGCCAATTCTTGGTAGACGTCATCATTGAATACCCGTGAAATTGCTAGCTACCGTGCCTTAAGTACATGCCTCTTCCCCAATTTCTACATTTTTATCAGTGAAACGTCATTGTCTCCGCAACATATTGCTTCCCGTCTCCGGAATTATTGTTTTGGGTTCCGTTGCCAGTGTTGTTGAACTGTCGGGCGGCTTGCCCACTCGAAGATGAAGATTGCAAAGCCCGCGGCTTATCTTCCTGGACATAACGCTCCAACAAAGCCTTTGTCACAGAAGCTGCAGCAATTGCAGCATACGGTTGCCATTTCTTGTTCTTATGGCTATCCGCGTAGTCGCAAACCCCTTTCACAATAATGCATGGTATCTGATCCCACATACCAGCACCTTCCATCTCGAAAGCGATGATGTCATGCTCCTGAGCCACTTTATCGCGATGGGCGCCAGATTTCATGACCGTATCACCAGATGCCACATTCCCGATGAAGATCTGCGGAGACTGGCTCTCACTATCGGCAAGACGATCCCTAGGCACAAGATGTGCCTGATCGCACCCGAGCTCCCGGCAAGACGTACGAGCAGCCGCGGCACATCCGCCGCTATTGCTACACCCACACCCAGTCTGCTCCCAATTCTGATGAAGATGAAGATACGCCGACCTGAACAGAGTGTCTTCAGATGGTGGTGGACGTCCGTAGCGGGTTCGACGACGTTCTTTGATCGCCTTTCGTTGGGCCTTCTCCAGAACATTTGCGCATCCACGCTCGAGTCGACCACGTCCAAAATCAGACTCATATATAGCGAGCAAAGAGCGAATGTCGAGGTTCGATCGGCCCAAAATGTCGTGAATGGTATCCTTGCGAGTGAATTTATCGGGGTATTGGCGGCCCAGGTCAAACTGAATGACGCTCTTGCTGATGACGACATCTCCAAGTATCATCCCATCGACCTCGTCACCTGATCTAGGCACGCCACCGCAGATACCGGCGAGGATTGCGAGCTTCAGGCCAGTATAGCTCGATCGAAGAGCTGCTGCTGCGCCTGACGAACTTGCTTTGCCCATGTTTGGGAGTAATGCGAGAACAACATGATGTCGACCCATACGCCCGGTTGTATAACTGTTAGGATCATTTGGCGCTCTCCCAAATTGATCGCCATCTTCGTCCCAGAACTCGTCAAAGGCCAGTGTGGCAGCATCGTACTCGAGGGGTAGCGCGCAGACCACAGCAATCTCGAAGTCTCCCCGATGCCGGGGTCGGCCATTATCCGTCATCCAGAAGATATCTCAAGGCGAAGTGCCTGCAAAGCTGATGCCGTGTTATTTGGATGTCAAATCCTCTATGCTTTTGCAATGCTCATGGAAGGATCCAGAGTAAGGTAAGTCATGAGGCGGAAGGTTTTACGCAAGGTCAACCTTGGCAAAATATTCCCATCACATAGTCAGTTGCCTTCCGACCATGCGTGCATGCGGCGGAGGAGCGAACTCACCCGACACCCAAAGTGCCCAGTGAAAGTGTGAAGATACCGAACCATGTGCTGAGAGATTTATGTGAGAAGCAACGAATCATGCTCGAAGCCGCAGGTTTAAGATGCATGTCTGTGCTGACCACCATCGTCACCCACCAATTAGGACAAGCAATGAATGAAGCGAGGATTTCAGGGCGGCAAAATCAGGCTTGGCAGGCTATCCGGTCCAAAGGGAAGGGAGACACTGCAGGGTTGGTTGGAAGAAGAAGGCTGGGGCGGCGCAGCAGTTTGTGGTTCGCCTGGCTGCCTTGCCACCAAGGCTCAGAAAGCATGCTGACAGACTAGTCGAAATTTCTTTTCTTGTGCATCTGCTGATAATTTCATGCTCTCTTCAAGGGAAGCACCCGGACGACCATTATGCCTTACAGCGCGGTCCCTATGAGCGGAACACGGATACAAGACGTGCATCAGAATGTCGGGCCGGGAGTTCAGAACAACAACTGCGGCCCAGGCACCCAGTACATAGCCCACAACATCAACATAGGTGAGATCATCTTACATGACAGAGACTCAGCACTTGACCCTTAATGATTTCAGGTTCTCGGGACGACAGTCGTTTTTTGAAAGACTTGTTCAAAACGGACCCAAAAGACGACAAACAGACTATTGAAAGCCTAAAAGGGGATTTGATCCCAGGGCTGTGTCACTGGATAGTCGACCACCCCTCATTCCGTAATTGGCGAACTGGGCCACAAAGACGGTTGCTTTGGATAACTGGCGAACCCGGCAAAGGCAAGACTATGCTCATGTGCCACACCATCAATTATCTCCGAGGTCAGGGGCACAAGCCACTCTACTACTTCTGCCAGGCTACCAGGAAAACAACTGCTACCGACGTGGTTCGTGGGCTTTTGTGGCTACTTCTCACTGAAGACCGTTCACTCATCGAGCCGCTCCGTCATGATTATGAGCAAAAGGGAGAAATGCTCTTTCAGGACTCCAACAGCTTGGGTGTCCTCTGCGCAATTCTCACGAGGATTCTGTCTGACAGTCCGGGTGTAAAGGTTACCATAGTAGTCGATGCCCTGGATGAGTGTGAAACTGACCTTGATCGCCTACTTGGTCTTCTGATGACGCTTTCCAAGATAGCCAGAACCATTGTTTCTAGCCGGGACTTGCCGAGAATAGCAAACGGACTTAGCGTTGCGAAAGACAAACTTCGTATCGTTCTGGGGAACAACAAGGACAAGGTCGATGAATACATACGGTACAAAGTGAACCAACTCGCAACGCTGAGAGGATACGACCAGGAAACATACAACAAGGTGTCCAACTATCTGAGACTTCAGGCGAATGGCACGTTTCTCTGGGTGTCTTTGGTCTGCGAGCAACTTGCAGATAATGAGGTGTCAGCAGCTGACACCTATAGCATTCTGAGTTCCTATCCCAAGGGCCTGGATGAGGTGTACCAACGTATCCTGGATCAGATCTCAGGTATGAGATCAGAGCGAAAACACCTTTGCTTTAAGACAATATCTCTCTTCGGCATTTGTTGCAATTCCATAAGTTCAGAAGGCCTAAGTACCATATTTGGACCTTCGTGTTCTTTGGAGCAGATCACGAAGGAGTGTCGAGGTCTACTCATTTTCCAGAACAATGCTATCTATCTAGTACACCAGTCGGTCAAAGAATTCTGGTTCAGGAAGTCTACAACGAACAGTGTGTTTGGGGACGTTGAGTCTCAGCACACGTGGCTTCTGTCAAGGTTGATCCAAACTATGTCAAAGGACCTCCGAGGAAAAGACGATAAGGTGGCCATTTCTTTCCGCGCTAATACTCCAATGTCTCTTCTTCAATATGCATGCGTCTACTGGATTGACCATTTTATCAAGAGCAACATCGAGCGGCAGGAACAGCAAGATATTGTCTACCACTTCTTGGAAACCCATTTTCTTCATTGGGTTGAGGCCCTATCTCGCCTGAGACTCTTGTTCAAAGGCATAGACGGCCTCGTCGAATTGCTGGAAGCGTGCAAGGTGAGTGGAAAATATCACTGAAAGCAAAATATATGGTAACAGTAATCAGAATCACAATACGGAGTCCAAGTCTGAGGAATTCGTCAATCTTATTTGGGATGCATTGCGTTTCTTGCGTCGTTTTCGCGTTGGCATCGAGAGGTCACCAATCGAGGTGTATCGCTCCGCGCTCTTGTTCAGTCCGGAGCAGAGCGCCGTGAGAAAACTATTCGCTGATAAGGATTCTCCTGCTTTGCAATTGACAGCGATGGCTCAACGCGACTGGGGCTCAAGTCTACAGTCTCTTGAAGCGCAAAGTCCATCCACCTTGCCTGTTGTCTTCTCGTCCGATGGATCTACGATTGTTTCGGCTTTTATTAACCAATACATCGCTCTTTGGAAGACAGACACCGGGTCGTATATAAGATCTCTCAGGGGTCACTCAACGCCCATACACTCTTTGACATACTCGAAGGACGGGTCCACTATTGTCTCAGGGTCAGCAAGCGGAACCATCACACTATGGGACACAGCCAAGGGACACTTCAGAAACGTCTTTTTCACTGGTCACAAGGCTGCAGTTGTTGTTGTTGCTTTGGATGAACGAGGTCAGATCCTAGTGTCGGGTTCTCTGGACCGAACGATCAAAATCTGGGATGCAATGACTGGTACCTGCCGTCATACACTAGAGGATGTGGAAGGAGCCAGACTCGCAGTATCAGGTGACGGGAAGTTCTTTGCATTTCCAACGACCGCTGGGGATATACAGCTTTGGAATGCACAGACCTTCGTGCATGATAAGACATTGCGAGGTCAACTTGATGAAGTTCAAGTCATTGCGCTTTCGGGCAATGGAAGAAAGGCCGCCAGTGCTTCCAATAAATACATGGTTGTATGGGATCTGGCCAATGGTTCTATCCAAAGTCGTCGCAGGGTCGATAAGCGCATTTCTGCCATAGTTTTCTCTACCGACAACTCAGGCCTGGCAACAAACTGGGGCGCTCATGGTGTCAAACTGTGGAAGCTGAACGGCCATGGGCTTAAGACGCTTCACGGGTTTAGCGGACCGTTTCATTCGTTATGTTTCTCGCCGGACGGCAGAACGCTTGCATCATCAGCAACGGATGGAACAGTCAAGTTATGGGACGTGGCCAACGATGAGTGGATTCAAAGTAGACGTGCATCTGTTTCAACGCCAAGCCCAGACGATATCAGTGAGTCCTCAGGACTAAGGTTTCGGTCAGACTCATCTGCAAGGCGTGCATCCCTTTGGCGTCAAATGCTTCTGTCCTCCTTTGGGCGGCCTGAAAGCAGTAAGTAAACATGGTCCTCGAACTTCTCTGTTTTAAGTCGCCAAAGTAACATGGTTAGGTCTCGATCGAAGAAGTTACCGTATACACATTCGTGACCACCATTTCAAGCAGATCGCCGCTGTGGCATTTTCGCCTGACGGGAAAGAAGTTGTGGTGGTCGATGGCAATGTCGTCACGGTCTGGGACTACCAGGCTGGGTGGCGTAGGGAAGAATTCGTGTCGAGGCTAGATTGCGCCTCAGATGCAATTGTCTCGACGACATTTTGCAAGGATAGCATATACGTTGCTGAATACAGCTCCTCAGACATGAGAACGAGTTTATGGGACATACCCTCAGGCCGGTGCCTGAAAACGGTAGATGATGGCATCAGCGTTACAAGCTTGGCGTTCTCGCGGAATGGATCCACGCTCGCAGCATATGGAAGAGTGAGCCTGAGGCTTTGGGACACGGCAACAGGTGACTTGAAAGCGTCATTTACGACCGATCTCGAGTCCCTGAATCCGGGCCGCATCAGGTTTTCTGAAAACGGGTCGCACATATATTTTGACAGCAATTCCTTCAATTTGTCCTCTCCAGGACCCATTGTGGCAAATGGCTTGATAGGTATTATATACATTGTGCCGCACCAGTACAGGATCAGGAGAGATCTCGATTGGATTGCTAAGGGAGATACAAACGTTTTGTGGTTACCGCCAGGGTACCGACCATCTGTATGGGACATTGTGGGATCGGACGTAGTTATGGGCTGTGGGTCTCGCGTTGTTTTCATTCGGTTACCTGATAAAGATGTCTGATTTATTGTCCTCTCAAATCCATTTCTTTGGCGACTGCTGGCGAGCAAGTTAGCGCCGAGTACTGCAACTAAGGAACGTCACAACACAAAGATAGTTCAATGACCATTGTCATGTCTAGTATTTCTTTCTTTTTTCATTATTCATAGAGTCATCTATCTAAGGCCATCTAAGGCCGCTCTAGTATCCACATGGTATCACGTATTTAAAGCTTGCGAACGACGCGGTTGGCAGCCTCCTTCTCCTCCTTCTCGTCCCAGATGTTGATGTTCCAGCGGGGCTTGTAGGTGAAGGGAATGTTGTAGCGGCGGGGCTCCTTGCCGATCTCGTTAATGGCGGCCACGTCCTCGTCGGAGATCTTGACCTCCTGGAAGTTGGAGTGAATGCGGCTGGGGGTGACGGACTTGGGGATGACGGAGTGGCCGCCGACCTGGGACCAGGCGAGGACAACCTGGGCCGGGGTGGCGTTGAGCTTCTCGGCGATCTTCTTGACAACGTCGTGCTCGATGAGCAGGGGCAGGCCGAAGCCGTTGTTGCCGAAGGCGGAGTAGGCGGTGATGTGGATGCCCTTCTCCTTGGCGTACTTGATGAGGGTGTCGTTCTGCTGGAGCAGGGGGTGACGCTCAACCTGGTTGACGGCGGGGACGACGCCGGTGGCGTCGATGATGGTCTGGAGGTCGTCGATGGTGAAGTTGGAGACGCCGATGGCCTTGACCTTGGACTTGGGCAGGGCGATCAGGGCCTTCCAGGTGTCGACAAGGGAAACGCCCTGGTCGAGGTCGACCTCGGAGTCGTTGCCGGCGGCCTTGGGGAAAAGCTCGCCGCCGTTCTTCTTGAAGGCAACGGGCCAGTGGATGAGGTAGAGCTGGGAAGGGTCAGGAAGTGTTTTGGTAGATGGAAAAATTGGGTGTACTCACGTCAAGGTAGTCGAGGCCGAGCTCCTGGAGGGTCTCGTCAAGAGCAGCCTCAACGTTCTCGGGGCGGTGGTTGCTATGTTGCTGTCAGTATACATATCTTATTTCATATAACAATGTAACTCACTTGTTCCATAGCTTGGAGGTGATGAAGATGTCCTCACGCTTGAGGCCGGGGATATCAGCGAGCGCCTTCTTCAGACCCTCACCAACCTCGGGCTGGTTCTGGTAGATCTTGGCCAAGTCCTGCCGTTGCTGTTAGCTCCTGCCCCTTACACGTCTTTCAACGTTTGCCGATGCTTACAAGGTGACGGTAGCCGGCCTTGAGGGCCTCGTAGACACCAACAGAGACTTCACCGGGCTTGGACTGCCAGGTGCCGTATCCCAGAGTACTGAAATGAGGGGTCAAAAGTCAGTGAAGCTCAAAACGTGAAGCGGGGTACAGTGATCGGCAGGGGCCTGAACCAAAAGAGTTCAGATCACTGTAAACAAGCAAACGTACGGGATCTCGGCGCCGGAGTTAAGATTAGCCTTGTTACCGAAAGACATGATGACTTGAGTTTGAAGAAGAGGTTGTGAGATGGGATGAAGAGTATCGTGAGGATCACAGAGATCGTTGATGGAGAGGAGGAACAAGTAGGTGGCCTTTTAAACAAGTGAGGGGTTTCGGGGCCCATTGCATCATTGTTTGTCAGGATGAGCTGCGAACCCTGATGGGTGGGCGGCCGTGACGCCCACCGTCGGACCCGCTTTGCCCGCTTTGCCCGCTTTGATGGCTCCGAGCCCACGACTCTTGGAGTGCCAACAGAGCTTCCAGTCGCTTCGGCGGGGCACCGTTGACTAGTCGCGCCTGGGGACCCCACACTTCGGGGCGGGAGCCGATGCCGGAGGCGGGTATGGAGGGGAAGGGGCTTCGGGGCTTAAGGTATGATGGGGGAGGGGAACATGTGGTTCTTGCGGATGGCGGTCGCCGTGGCTAATGGCTGATGCGAGTTCCCGGCTGTACACGGAAACGGGAGCGGGAGCAGATGCAGCCAGATGCGCCTCCGGCTCTACTATGCATTGATTTGCATGCGGCAGGTTGACACCCCGGATAGAGAGCATGCAGTAGTAATCATTCTGAACATTTCCAAACGTAACAGAGATTCACCAAAGTCCTTCTGTCTGGGTCGATGGCACCTCGCTTCCAGGCCCGGGTTCCTGGGACGGGAAGGAATTGCGTCTTAGCCTTCATGCATGTCGTCTTGGACGGCCCGCATCTTGGCGCCATGATGTGCGGCTTTGAAAGATATTGCGGGAATGACGAACAGTATTGCGCACAAGAAACTGCCGACTGATGCGATCTCGGGGCCACAAGATGGTACAAATAGCCCCGCAGTCGGTCGCAAAGAAGCGCACAAATGAGAGACGGGATTGAGAAGTGGCAGTAGATAAGGCTAGTTGATCGATGATCTCACCTCAAATGCTGGTGGCCGAGCTAGGTGATACAACCGTACCTAACGGCGATGTCTCGTATGCTGTGCAACAACGGCGTTCAGCGTCTACTTGACGGGAGGAGAAATGCCGACATGAACTAAGCCATTAAGTGACATCCAGCTGCCACAAAAAAAAAAAAATCATGATCTGATATGATGAGTAATTCATTGAGACAATTGCGTCGCGTCGTTAATTCAAGCATTTCCAATCTGAATGTTGATGATTGACTTGATGAAGACACATCCTCCTGTCCTGCCGAACCAGTCGCATTCGTGCTACCGGGCGCCGCCTCAAACGCACTCACTCTCCAACAATCCATCTCATGCATCGACGTTGAAAAAAGAGTCTCACTCAAAAGCCAAGTCCGAATCTGACAACATCTGCATCCAGTCAGCACATCCATCCAATCCAAAGCACAGATGACCTCGCTTACCGGCCGCTGGCGACGGAACACGGCACCGATCCTCAGGGGGCAGTGATGTGTTCGTTACCTAGACCCCACTGTCGATGACTATCCTGTTGAATGCTACATTACACTAAAAGATACGTCTCTCTGATGACCCAACTCTACTATAGTGTTAAAGAAGATGCATTCTTTGACTAGACTGAAAAAGAGTATCTAGCGTCGCTGCGTGTGTGTTTCAGTGACTCGACCCCGCGCTGGGTGTTTCTGGCGTTTTGTTGTATTCAATGAGATGAAATTAGAGCGTCGGGGGTGCCGAGGTCCTCGTGCGCTTCTCTAAAAAGCTAAGATGCACTGAAATCCGAGCACACTTGTCTGCTTCTTCCCTTCCTGCCTTTTCTATACTTTTGCATAGCAGGGTACCGTTCGTAAGTTACGCCGGACTATCTAAGTGGCTCTTGAACTGACCCTTGCAAACATGGGGGTGCGGGTTCTCCTTTTCTCAAGTCTTCACGGTGTTAATGTCCTACTCGCCCCATGCGCATTTGATATACTTTACAGTCTAGTTGCAGCTTTTCATTACATCACAATAGCTGTCATCGTTATCTTGGTAGTTCCTCGGCGACGTTGGTCGTAGCTCTTAGATCGTGTCGTGTTCCAGAGCCCCCGGGACATATGAGCCTTTAAAGGAACAGCAACCACCAATCATTCGATTCTGAAATGAGTAGGTGTCCAAGCCGTAAGTTCATCGCAGCCACCGTAAGCGAACGGCTAGTCTTTCTGAAATCTCTATGATACTCACTGACAGTTACCGAACCTCGTTGGCATGAATTTACTGATGACTCGTTAGTAAGAGTGGGCGCTGCATTTTTTAATTATCCCATCGGCTGCCACATGGCACTTAACAAACCTGCTATACTACCAATAGTCGCAACCGGATTGAATAAGCTATTCGATTGGTCCAAGAAAATGAAAACTCAGGGCGTGGCCGATGGGACTAACGGACAAAAAAGGCACTGATACGCGTTTCCCTGATTAGCTGAACTCTGTTAGACATCAATCGTCAACAGAAAACAACAAGGCATCTCTCCAAGAACATACAATATTTTGGCCCTTACTCGCAATACTCCAAGAAGCGAAAAGAGGAGCGATTCTGTGAGTCAGTTACTAACGGCCAACCCGAACAGCTAGTTCCCAAGGGGCCAAGAGCAAACACCTTCATGCCGTGCGTTTCGCCAGGCAATATAAAGAGCCAAATCGCTGCTCCTAAGTTAGTTATGCATATGCAACATACTTTCCCTCAGCCTTCTCAGTTTACACAATGAAGATCACATCCCTCGTTTCCTTCCTCGCCGTCACCGTCGTTATGGCGCAAGCGTGCGACTACTGCCAATGTCAGAAATCTGATGGCAGCCACTGCTGTGTAGCGCACGCTAACGGCAAGGCATGCGACGAGGTCTGTAAGACTGCTGTCTACAGCCTTAGCTCCAACGGCGACAGGCTATCCTGCAATGCTGGTGGTGCTTCGAACTGCATTTCACCAGCTTCGTACTCAGGACGGGACCGATGCATTGTGGGTATTTTCTAGTTCTCTATCATAGTAGGATGCTAACGGTACGAAAGTGAAACACGCCCGAGTTCAATATGAACAAGCACTCAGGACGTGTCATCGCTGCCCTGCTATATAAAGGGGCCGGATTTCAACACAAGCCGGAACGTGACAGGAGATGGAGAGGCGTGGAGCGTGGCTGCTTCGGTCGTTAGGACATTTCTAGAAGTTACATCAGCGGTGGTGGCGACTACGTAGATAATCAAATGAGCCCTGTTCAGTTCACCACTGAAAAAGACCCAACATTGTCTGCATGCAGAATCAGTCAGCGACTCGTTTAATGACCAAATTAGCCAAGAGCAGTACATATGTTACGTCGTATCACTGGTGCTCCACACTTATGGCTTGCTCCTTGGAAGTAGGCTGGTATCTGGGCCTGAAGCTGACTTCTGCTTTGCAGGTACTATGCTATTTCATCAAGTGCGATCGGACTGCAGGCGCGCGAGGCAATATTCAATCAACTCACACGCAGAAAGATCCTCCCTTGTTTCTAGCGAAGAACAAGTTTCGAGGTTCATTCGAAGTCGAGACTGGAGCTAAGTATTGCAGTCCATTCGCACTCAGTGGGATGTATCCTTTCATACTGAAGAAGCATTTAGTA